ACTATTAAACTGACTGCTGCCTCATCTACTAAAAGAAAAATCACAAACTGACAGAACTATCCCATCTGTACCGTCACGACTTCCAAATTAATTTCGAGGGTTACTTAACCATGCTCATTAGATTCCAGTGCAAGCTCTTACCGCCCGTCACGAGCACATCTCAGCGAGGTCAGATTTCTTCAGTTATTATTTCTTACCTTCGGTTTCTGTGTTTTCTTACTTCCTACATCCAAACTTAATGAAAGCATGTGGCGATGCAAGAATTTGTTCTCACGGCTTTTTTTTCCAAGAGCTTAATTTTCATCGAGTTTTTTGTACTCTGCTCAACTTCAAACTTTTCAAGACTTCAAGTTCCCACCGTTCTTTCAACAGCTGAGATCCGCAACCACTGCGGCAGCTCAAGCCATCACAGGGTATGTAGGCTGACATGTCACTGCCAAATGGCCCAAAAATACGGGGCGAGTGTTGGATCAATAACGATCAAGCTTCATATTTGCTTGTAATACAATATGCTTTGTTTCCATCGATTTCTGGTTCTCCAAAATGCAGAACACGTTAATAAGAAAGTGCTGGCAAAAAGGGTACACAATCTAACGGCTTGATAGAAATTTCCAGATGATTCCAATGAAGATTGATAGTAAACCATCACTGGAATGCCCTATAAAATGGACGGGCAAGAATATGTCTCCATCGAAATGTTGTTCGCTCCTCATTCCACTGTGCTTCCTCCTCATCAGCGTTGGGGCTCACGGTAGGTACAATTGTCCATCTTTATGGTAAACTCTTTCTGAGCCTATCGCGGCTGCCAAAGTAGTTCTCACTCCAAAGGGAGAAGGAAAGTATGTTTTCAGATAGATGCCCTACCTATACTGCAATGGAGGAGTGGTACTCAGGATTCAATCTGGGCCTCAACTCCAAACTGGTTGGTGTTCTACTAATTTTTTTCTTAGGTCATTCATATAGATTCTTTAACTGAAGTTACTACACAAACCATCACCCTCCCCCCTTCGGAGACGCTACGGCCTATGCTGTGTTGCAGTTCTAACGTCTCTGAAATTCTTGACAGGATGTGAAGTGGGCTGAATCCAATAAAGCATTGGATGAAATTCTGTTTTCCTGGTTCCAATCTTCTTGTTCTTCATTTTTTTCTTCATTTCGTTCAATTCTTTTGCAATTCTTATAAGTCTAAATTCCTTGTGATTTGTTCTTCTCAAAGATACGCTGCGCGTTCACCTTTGAGGACGCTGATTTTTGCCATGTAGAACGAAAGTGCGCCGAAATGGGACTGCAGGGTAGTGGTAGCTAGATGCTTGTTCGAGCTACACACACGGGCACGCAACCTTGCGGCACGACAAGCCTACACTTGAGTATAGCCAAACGCGCTTCTTGTCCGCTCCCTTTCACGTGTGGCCGATCTCTACTCTTGGCAGCGACGGGCAGTTTGCAGTTCATGTTGCCCTTCTGCGTTTGTGGACATCTGGCAAAGTCTTAAACGACAATCAGCAATATCAGCATCAGCTTCGTTTCCGCGTACTTTCGAATGATGAAAATGGCAGTTCTTTGCGAGAACCTGTTTACGTCACTGGCAAGAGTTCATCTTGCAGGTAAGTCAGCGCATCTTTAACACCTACATAAGTGGAGCTAGAAAATGATTTCTCAAAAACAATTTTCTTTCCAGGAATGGGACGCAGGACTTTCCAGTGACGCTTGTAACGAAGCAAGAGGTATTGTACCCTCCAATGCACCTCATAAATTCAAGGCAGAAAAGTAGGTATTGCTCACAAAAAGAAACTGCACACTCACAAAAGAAACTGCACAAAGTAACGCCTCTTTTTTAGAACGTTCACGAGTGGTGGACTAGTCCCAGATATGATAATGGAAACCCTCTAAGGGACGGTTTGAAAGGACAAAATACAAACCGAGAATGTGAGTTGAACAAAATTTCTCGGTGCTAACGTATTTGGAAGGGCCACGCCGGTTCTCGGCCAGTGATGACTCATCGACTCTTCTTTTCATGTTTAGGACATAGATATAAGATTGTCCTAGCTATATTCAAAAGATAAAACAGTTAACTCTGAAGAATGCGAAAAAACAGTTGTGGACAGGAAAATTTTGCCTAAACTTGTTGCTTTTTTGTTGTAGACCGCTGTTCTTGACTACAAAAGATCATACAATGTTGTTTTCAGTTTCTGTGGGATTTCTCAGCAAGTTTCCGGTGAGTCTTGTTTGTTTTATTCTAATTTTGCTGCTAGATTAGTATGTCAACGCTGCTATCGATCGATGAGTCATCACTGGCCGAGAGCCGCGTGGCCCCCTCCAACTACGTTAGCACCAATTCTCATAACATTGAGATCTTGTGGGCGTGGAAGTGCAACGGTACAGCTTCAGTTCTGGAATGGGGATAAGAGAGAGATAACGATGAATGGTCAAAGCACACCGTATTCACTGCATATCCCGAAGAATAGGGCGTGGCTACGTCATGTTATTTGAACGTGGCGCCAGCTGACCTTTCAGTTGTGGTCTTTGGGACGATTCTAGTCATGTCATTTTCCGCATTATTCATATTCTGTGCTATCGTTTTTTAGGTACGCAATCTTCCTGCACACACCAAATATGGATGCAACAGCTACTTCGAAGGGAACCTAGTAAAAGTCGTCTGTGTCTACAAGTGATGATGGAATGATTTGTCTCCAACAAACAAGCAGCTGACAAGAAGCGATACTGCAAAATAAAGTTTCGTGAACTGACTCGAACACCATTAGATACTTCGCTGCACTCTCTTTGCGATTCGTTTTCAATAAAAAATGGGGAGATGAGCGTACAGTGCTTAGATAATCCAGAAACGAGAACATACACAGAATCTTCCCAGAGCAATCAATAGTAAGGAAGATAGAAGAAATGGCTCAAGTTCATCACTGTCAGAAAAAAAACCCTTTGCTTTACCTTCAAAACGTCATACCAGTTTGTGAATTATTCTAATTTGGTAACTGCTAAAAAGTCTTTTCACAGCATCAAAACACTAATTTCTTAACGAGCTGCTTCAGTTTGCTAGATATTGTGTGGGTGCCAAGTTTTAGTTCCTCTCTTGTTTGATCAGAATTGTGACAGAAATCCTGCCAAAATTGATTTTTTGATCAGAATTGTGTCAGAATCCTGTAAAGTGACCATCACTGGCTACACCGCTGCTCATCCATAACCATTGACATACCCTTAGGATAAGTTTGGCTTTACTCTCTGAAGAAATACGTGTTTCAAAGGTGCTCAACACACATGTTTCACTCGTATGACGCAGGAGCCAAACATGTACACCACTTCTTCACAGTTTTTTTTCTCGCTCTGCAATTCCGTGCTCTCCCAAGAAGTGATTTGGAATCGTAACTAGGAATGACCCCAGAATTGTAGGTCTTTACTTCCTTAATTATTATCTCGCACTCTCTGCAGTCTTGCTCACTGCGGTTGCCGGAGCGTGTCGGTGTCCCTCTGTTCGGCACTGGCGCAATTCTCCACCAGTTGTTGAAGCATGTGAGAGGCTTCTGTTGGTGGCAAAAGGGCTGTCGCTGCGTAAACCCACTCCTACCCTGACACGTCTCAGCATCCGCAGCAAACAAACCTGTACCTATTTCACACTACACTGTGCAGTCGCCTCAAACTCATGTGAACGCTGTAGGCCATTTCGAGCTCGACGGCCACGATAGGTAGCGTCATCTTATCAAGACCGTGAGAGCTGAGGTAGAGCACTCAAGCCTCCCAGAAGCACTTCATGACTATGTCACCACGGTCTTTCCGTGTGTCGTTATGCCCTGTGCGAAGTAGATAAGTGTAGTTCTATAGAAGGCAATAAACATGGTATACAGGGGGGCCAAAAAAAGTCATTTTGCCTCCATGACTTTCAAGGCGCTATAAGTTACACTTTATTAAATTTTTATCGGACATTTTTACTACCATATTAAAGAGCACATTAAATACTATAATGATACTCCGCCACAGCCTTCTGGAGGAGCGCCATCGAGAGATTCGGCCGAGTGGGTACCGGAGTTGAGCGAGATCGTTGATTTCTCCGCCACTGTAGA